AGTACCAGTTTAAAAAAAAGTGCCTTTATTTTCTTTAAACAAGATTTTCCTAAAAGCAAATTAAGATACACCCTACTCTATATCCCTTAGCTTTTTCATACTAAGACTCCTCTCAGGTGCTACAAGTCGGTTCTTCAGTTGTATTAAACTGTCCTTATTTTATACACCTGGGAAGTCTGGAACCCAAAAAGACACAGGGCTCCCCCAATGAAAAACGAAGGAAGGGACAGAAAGGGGAAGCAAGGACCTCTTTCATTAAAAACAAACTAAACTACCAATAAGAGGGACTTATAATAAGCGATGTGTACCCATGACCACGGAGGACTCCGTTTTTCCTGGTTCTGACACATTCCTATCTTAGGGAAAGAGGGCAGGAATGTGCCCAGTAAGAGCACAGCGCTGGATGTCAGCAGCTCAGCAAGGCTAGAGGAGTTAATCTCTTCGGATGCCCAACTGCAGGAAGTCATTACATCATAGGCCTTTCCACACCTCTCTCTCTAACACGAGTCCGATGCCTCAAGAGGCTGAAAAGGAACTGTAGAGAACCTCTCTTCAGGTTCATATATAGGAAGAAGCCATTAAGGCTCAGCCCTGACATCTAACCTCCCTCTCAACAGAAGAGTAAAACGCAGGCCCACACCTGCCTCGAATAGTGCCAAAGTCCAGGCCTTGTCCGAAGCAGCAGGTGCGGCCAGTTCACGTTCAGGTGGCGAGGCTGATCTGTTCCAGGTCCCAGAACATTTCAGAGGCTCCACGGGGGCAAGATGAGTGAAGCGACAGATATCTCTTAGGAGTAAAGGTGTCAGCATAGGCAAGGAAAGGGAGCCGGCAGAAAAAGGTTTGTAATCATTGCCTTTTTTTTTTTTTTTAAGGGGATGGATATGCCTGTGGGAGTTAACACCCACAGTCCGAAACTTGGGCCTCCGAGGTTCTCATTCAGCTCCTGCGACCAAATGAAAATCTCTTTCCTCCCACCCCCCACACACACCCCTTCTCTCCACCCACGGTGTCCTCGCTGCAACCAGCTACAGTAAACTCTATTCCAAAGTTGGCCGCGGACCTACCTCCTCGCCGCTGTCCCGATAATCCAGCAAATGCACTCCAGCTCATCCTTCCTTCCCTTGTCTGTGAACCTTGCCCCCCACCTCCTCACCTGGTCTCGCCCGAGGCTTCCCAGGGAGACTCCTTCCCTCTCTGAGGCTATCCCCAGGTTCCCCTGCTCCAGAGGTCAAACAGAACCCTCCAAAGCCTCACAACAGAGGCTTCCCTACCAACCCTCTCCCCAGCGCCCTTAGGCTCGCTGCGTCCGACGTATTCGAGGCGCGTCCGGCGCTGCGCAGGAGGCCCGGCGGTCTGGCTGCCAGCCCCTGGTGAGTACGCACCTTCCAGCCGGCTGAGCTGTTGCTATCGCCCTTATCCTTGAAATAGGGCACACAGCGCACCATCCACTCGTAGATCTGGGACAAAGTGAGCCGTTTGTCCGGGGAGCTCTCGATGGCACGGGTGATCAAGTCGGCGTAGGACAGGTTCCCCCAGGCGTTCCGCCGTGAGGAGCATTTCCTGGGCTGCCCAGAGCCCCCCGCCGCCCCCGGCTGCGGCGGTGGCAGTTGCTGCTGAGGCTGCAGCGGCGACTGCGTCCCCCCGCTCAGCGTGCCCGCCGCGGGAGCTGGCCCGGACCCGAGGTCCTGCCCTCCAGGAGCCAGCAGTATGGCCGAATCCTCAAGGAGTAGCCCCGAGGCCAGCGTGCCGCTCCCGCTGCCGCCGCCGATCGCCATAGCCGAGCTGGCCCGGCCACCGCTGTCCTCGTCGTCTTCATCGTCCTCTTCCTCGGGGATCATGGAGTCGGCGGCCGTCTCCCCCGAGGGCTTGGCCGGGCTCGCCTGGAGCTCTGGCCTCTGCAGGGGCCACGTACAGGAGCGCGGCCGGCTCTGGGGCTCGAACTCCGGGTCCAGTTCTACTTCCAGCGGAGAGAGCGGGACCGGGGAGGCCGGTGCCTCTGCCATCTTCGCCGCCTGCCCGCCCGCCTGCCGGCGGCTAGGACTCTTGCGCTCTCCTCTCACGCCCGGGCGGGGTGCGGCGGGGGAGGGACGGAGGCGCCGCGAAGGCTCGGGCTCCCGGGCGCCGCTGCTGCCGCCGCCTAAGGAACCGCGAAAGGAAAAAGAAGGAGAGTTGGTTATCCCGGGCGGGAGCCCAGTCCTTGGCGAGTCCTCGCCCGCCGCTGCCGCGGCTTCACGACCTCACCGCGCCTGCCTCCCAGGAACAAGCAGACCTGGGGACGTGCGTCCCGCGAACCTGGCGCAGCAGACGCCGCCCCCTGGCCAGGCCGCTGGGGAGATGTGAGCGAATCGACGGCCTCGCACGGGGCAGCCCCCTCCCCCGCCGCCAGATCTGCAGGTCTCTCCTGGGCTAGGTGGCTGGGCGGGGAGAAAGGGGGGGAGGGGAGAGGCGGGGTAGGGCGGGAGGCCGGGCCGCGCCTTTAAAGTGGGCAGCGGCCGGAGCTGGCGCAGCCGAACCGCGGTCGGAGCCCGAGCCCGGGCAGGCAGGCAAGCAGGCAGGCAGGCGTGCGGGCGTGCGTTTGTTTATGTTTCGCTCTGGCCCGCTCAAGTACCTCCCGCGGCGCAGCCGCCTAAGTCCGTGGCGTCTTAGGCTCTTCTCCCCTTGCACGGCCCTGTAGCCTCCGCGATCCCCCTATCAACCCCTCCCAGCGGAGTGGCCCAAGCACCGGGATGGCGCGGGCAGTTCCCTTCTCTCCTCGCCCGCGGGCTGAGGAAAGGGAAGGCGAACAGAGGGCTGAGTTCAAACAGGCCCTTGTCACTTCCAAAAAAAGAAAGATGAAAGAAGGGGGCAAGCAGCCGGAGGGTGTTCGCAAAGGGTCGAGCCCTGTTTGAACGGCTACTTCGGAGGGTTTGTGTGGTTTATTTTCTCGCGGACGTGGTGTCCTCCGCCCCCTTCCCAGTCAGGGTCGGAAGGAGGGAGCAAGACGGAACATAAATCTTCCAACAGGTCGGGAAGTGCCAAGTCTCCCGGGCTGCCAGAAAACCCGGACCAGCACGTTCATCACCTCCTCGCTCCCGCTGCTGCCATCTTGACAGTTTCCCCCTTCCCTCAAGTCCTTTAAAAACACTAGCGGGAGAGAAGGGGGGCGCGCACACCGAGTCACGGGGAGGGAAAAGGGAAGAGCCTGGCCCAGCTCGGAAGCAGATCCGGAGTCACCGGGAAGGCGGCCGCCCCGCTGCACAGCTCCGGCGCCTACCTCGGTTCCTTCCCTTTCAGGGACGAGGCGGGAGGACGCACAATCCCGCGCAGGTCCGGGGCCAGGCGAAGAGAGGACGTGCAACCCTGGAGAAGGAGAGGCGCTCGGGCCACCGCTGCAGCCCGCCCAAGGAACCGCCTGTCAGCCTGCGCGCCGCCGCCTTCCACATTCCTCCTCCTCCCTTCCACGAGCAGGGCGGCCGCGGCAGCAGCACAAAGTTATAGACACACGCAGGGAGCCTCAACCTAGAATGACGGCGAGCGGGCGGGCGGATCCCCGCCCAGGGGGAGGGTTGGGGCGGGGGCCCAAGTGTGCTGGTGTGCGTGCGTGTGTGAGTGTGCGTGTGTGAGTGCGCGTGTGTGCTCGCGCGCGCCTGCGCGGCCAGGCTCCGCGGGGCTGCGGGCGTGGGTGTCAGGGCGCGCGCAGCCGGCCAGAACTCGGCGGGCTCCAGCAGCAGTGCCCGCTGGGCTCCTCCTCCCTCCAGGAGCCTCACGGACAACAAAGCACAGCGCTGGCAGGGGAGAGGGAGGGACCCAGATCCCCAAACCCTCCTCTGAGCGCCGTAACGCGACCTCCCAGACTCTGGGCGCCCAGTCCGGGCATCTGGAGTCCCCGGCCTGCGCGTCCGCCCACCAGGCTGTGAACACCCCCTAGTATCCGATTCTCCTTTAGAACCCGACACTAGGTAACACCTTAGATAAGATGCTGATCACAGATGGCAAGGGTTACCTAGGCGTGGAAATACTAACCCGCCAAGATGTTGGTGCCTGCAAGCCTTCGATAAGCTGATTCCCTCAGATTTGATTAAGCACCAAAAGGTGTGCACTGAGTCCCCTTACCTTGGACACTCGACCACAGTCATTTTTCACTTTTTTATGGATTTCTTGGCAAACAAGGGAGAAGAGTAACTTAGTACAAGCACTTTATTCCTCAGTCCTAAACGCAAGACCAGATACCGCACAATTGAAAGTGGGAAACAATTTTATTCTAATCTGTAAAAATGACACCAAAACCAGTTAACTGCATTTCTGACTTTTTAAAGAAATATGCCTTTAGGTTAAAAAAAAAAATCATCTTCTCTAGTCCTTAGGATGCGTGCTCCAAATCGTTCATTAGTATCCTAAAGAATGTACTACATGGGCTGGGGGTGTGGCTCAAGCGGTAGCGCGCTCGCCTGGCATGCGTGCGGCCCGGGTTCGATCCTCAGCACCACATACAAACAAAGATGTTGTGTCCGCCGAGAATTAAAATAAATAAATAAATAAAAAAAAAAAAAAAAAAAAAAAAAAAGAATGTACTACATGCAATATGTACACCAAAAGTCTAGCCACTTTGGTTCATAAATACTCTTAAAATAAAACCTAAGTCATTGGAGATATTCCAGAGTCTAGGAGCGGGCTCCGCAACACTGCCCTATACACAAAAAGATCCAGCAGCACAGCGTAAGCAGGAGTCCGCCCACCAAGCTGACTCTGGGCTCCGGGCTTTGCCCAAGGCCTGCCACTCAAGTGACGCGAGGCCCCGCCCCTGCACCAAGCTAGTTTGACGCGTACAAACAGATGATGTCATTGTCTCCACACGCGCGTGACCCCGGAGCTCTGCGCCGCGTCTCCATTCGCTGCGCCGCTGACTCGTCAAGCCACGCTGTGCGCTGACTGGCTACAGGCACCAGTCTCCAGGCCCCAGATGCCCCTCTCCGCCCCCAACCCCCGCCCCCCCAGCAAATAATAAACAATCGAGTAAAATTCGAAAGGAGGAAGGAGGGGAAGGAGGAGAGAAAGAGGGCGCTCCAGAAGGAGTCCTTCGCGTGCGGACGGCAGGAGGATTAAAAGGAGGGACGAGGGAGAACCGGAGAGGAAAGGAGAGGGCAGACCTGGGAAGGCAGGTCCCGCCGCGGTGAGCAACAGTCGGAGGAGGAAACTTAGCGTTCCGTGCACGCCCGGCGCTAGGACCCGGGGGCAGCAGGCTCGGGGCTCGGGGCTGGGGGCTGGGCCAGGCCTGCTGAGGGGGCGGTGACGAGGTATCACCGGCGCTGGGCGGGCGGAGCCAGAAGACACGTGCGGGAGGAGGGGCGCGCGCTCCGCACCGGCTCACCCTGGGCGCGCGGCCCCGGTGGCCGCGCGCGCTTGTTTACCAGCGCACGTGGGTGTTATTTTTAAATAGAATGTGGGGCTGGCTGCGCTGCAGAGTGGCGGGCGCTTGGGGCCGCCGGCGTTGGCTGGGGGACGCGGCGGGGCCAGCGTGGCGGCCTCTCCTAGCACTACTGAAGAGGCGGTAAGGCTGTCCCTAAGGCGCGCTGTCTGCGTAGCCGGCAGACCCGGCCCGGGAGCCTGACTGCTTGTTTCAGGCTTTGCGCGAGCCGCCACGGAATCGGCGGATGGTAGTCGCCGCATGCAGCCTCTTTTCTCCCTGGTTCGCCATCTGCTTCGGCACTGAAGGAATAAAGCCGCCAGTTGTCCTTGCTCTGGAAGCCGCGCCTGGTCGGGCCTCGCGGCAGCGGCCCAGAAATCACCACGTACACACTCAGTGGCACACACATCTTGGCCGCAAGGTGGACTCTCAGCACCCTGCGTGGTCTGTGCCCTAGCTCCCTTGCTCCGAATATCTGTCCTCAGTCTACGTGTGCAGGTCTGGAGACGTAGGGCTCTGCCTGTATACAAATACGCTTCTACTTCGGGTTGTTTCTGGAAAGGGAAGTTTAGAGGAAGGGAACTCTGTGCTTCCTGGGGTTGCTCCTTCGCCTGAGGATGCTCTTCTCTCCTTATGGGCCTGAGAATCCCTGAGTTTGAATTTGGCAGTGTAGACGGTGGTGTATGACCACAACACAGCTTCAGGTGCCAATGCTAAAAGCTTATTACCCAGAGTCTGATGTTTAGTTTTGCATCAAATACCGGGAGGCTAGATCACTCAGGGCTTCACGTTGCATGCAGCGAAAAATCCAAAGAATTTTCACTTGATGATTTTAAATACAGGATGCTATTATTAAAAAAAAAAAAAAATCCAGTCTTGTTCCTCTATAAATCTAAGCAATCCTTTGTCATTATAGTGCAGACCTGCAGAAGTAGAAAGAATGTGTTTACACTGGCTGGGCTCTCAGCCATTAGATTTTTCACTATAAACATGTTGAGTGTTCATTTACAGAATGCATATCCCAAGGGCATTCCAAAAAGGGTGTGTGTGTGTGTGTGTGTGTGTGTGGTTAAAGATTCAGTGGATGCACTAAGAACATTGTGACCCTCAGAGTGAAGAATGGGGGACAGGCACATAATAAAGCCATTTACCGCACAGACATAAAAAATACTTTAAAGTTAAATATTTTAAGAGTTTGAAAGCAGCACAAAACAAATCAAGAGGTCATACATATAGTGTTGGTTAAGCATCAAATGAATTGATCAAAAAACTTAAGATGGCAGTGACTATAAATATTTAGCTTTGCTAGTTGTGCATGTCACCCCAAAGAATTTACCCTAATAATTTATCCCTATGGGTAAACTGAGAACACAGAGATTGAATCTCAGATTTTTCCCTTTTAGCCTGAAATTTTTGACCTTTGCCTTCCCTTTGTAGGCCTCACTGGTCTTTTTCTATTTCTTCCCACCTTTCTTAGTCTCTAAACTTTATTATTATACAAAAGTTCAGTAAGTTATGGTTATTGAGAAAGAATGCTAGCATTACCTTTTAGGTAGAATTTTTGGTCAAAACTTTCCCTTCTAAACAATTTTATATCCTATTTTTATTCTACAAATTATTTAAGGTGGCAGTGGTTTGCTGCATTTTGTAAATTCGGTCACTGGAGGTATTCAAAACTTTCACCGGATAAAGCTGAGAACCTTTACCATTAGTTGTGAGGGTGATTGGTAGTGAAAGATGCTGGAGTTCTCCCTCTGAGAGATTGCAACTCAGTACCTGTGTGCCAGCCCAGTCAGTTTGCCTTGCATCTAAGCCAGTAGGGGCCTCCCTCTGACTCCAAAGCCCAAATATTAAGGACCAAGTATACTGCTCAGTTTCCCCTTGGAGTGGCTCCTGTGTCTATATCGACAAATTGTGACCAGCTGGAAAGAAATGAGGATCCTCAACACGCAGATCTACTGCTCCTCCCCAATCTATACACGCTCATTAGTCTATTTTTCTGTTTCCTGTCTCCTCTACAGACCAGTTACATGGAAAACTTCTTTGTTGAACACCATGTACCAAAGTACAGAGTGAGCTTTGGCTTGTCCTTTGGGGTGTCATTCCAGGCAAGTTTCATCACCACCCTCTCCAAGTGAGTCTGGAACTCTGGTCCTCTCTCTTCCCCTTTGCAGACGTCAAGCATGACAAGCCCTGGAAAGTCTATCCAGGTTGTAAGGATGACTGCTATGGTTCATTTGGACAGAGTGTATGTATATTTGGGGGGAGGGGGAATAGAAGAAGTAAGTGAACCCCAAAATATGAATGTTTACCTGAAATTGAACTGGGTAGACAAGAAATTGGTAAGAATTTTGTTTTGGTATTATAAGGTTATGATGATAGTTAACCTTTATTTATCCCCTAATATGTTTCAGACCCTGAATGGAGCACTTTAAGACTTGCATCATTTAAGCCTCACAGAGGCCTTGTGAGGTAGGTTCAATGACATGGGGAGTAAGAACAGATTCTAAGGTTATGTCAGATTCCCCCACTTACCAGCTATGTGACCTTGGAAGTGTTATTTAACCATTGAGTCCCAGTTCCTCACCCATAAAATGAGACTTAGGCCTTCTAGGATTGTTGGAAGAATTGGGTTAAATGAGGTTATGGATCTAAAGCATTTAGGATTAGAATAGTACTGAACTAAGGAACCTTTTAAAAATAGTGCTGCCCAAGAGCTATGTTGAACCAACTGAATCAGCATTTCTGAAGGTAGGGTCTGACACTGACATATTTTCAATTGCTAAAGGAATCAGAGGCACAGACTGTAGAGACCACTGAGATAGGGGCCCTCTCTGACACACACTCCAATGTCTGCCCTCAGCTCTGGCTGATTTGATCCTGCTAAAAATGAGGAACAAATGAGCTCTTCACTTCACCTCTACATCATCAGGCCCTCTTCCCTCATTTATGCCTCCTGCCTGATCTCTGGGTGTTTATTTGACTTAGCCACCTTAACTTGTACCTTCTACTCTTCAATGGCATGTTGGAGTTCTTTCCAGTTCATGAGAGGCAATTTTTCTCATCCCTTGTAGTTTGCAGTAGAGTATTATGGGCATATTTATTCCACAGAAAGTGGCCAATGCTAACAACTAAATTTGCCTGCCTTTCTTTTTTTTTGGGGGGGGGGCAGGGTGAGGGTTACTGGGGATTGAACTTGGGAGCATTCAACCACTGAGCCACATCCCCAACCCTGTTTTGTATTTTAGAGACAGGGTCTCACTGAGTTGCTTAGCACATTGCTGTTGCTGAGGCTGGCTTTGATCCTTCTAACTCAGCCTCTGAGCTGCTGGGATTACAGGTGTGCTCTACTAAGCTGGCTCCTGCCTTTCTTTAAATAGTTAGTTAGTTAGTTAGTTGCAGGTGGACACACTACCTTTACTTTATTTATTTATTTTTATGTGGTGCTAAGGATCGAACCCAGGGCCTTGAACCTGCTAGGCAAGTACTCTACCGCTGAGCCACAGCCCCAGCCCTCCTGCCTTTCTTGTTTCTTCATTCTTGGGGATAGTTAACCAGCATACCCTTACCCCTACTCCAATGAGCTACTATCTTACATTCTGAGGAAGATTTGTTTTGAATAGACCACTGAGATTTCTATTCAAATAGAAAGGGAAGGACAACAGTGGGGCATAGTGGCACACACCTGTAATTCCAGCAACACAAGAGACTAAGGCAGGATTGCAAGTTCAAAGCCAGCCTCAGCAACATAGGAGGCCCTTTCTCAGATTTCTTATCTTTCCTTTTCTTTTTTTTTTTTTTAAAGGGCTGAGAATGTGGTACAATGGTAAAGTACCCTTGGGTCAAATCCCCAGTAACAAAAAGAAAAATAAAGTGAAGGACAACAGAAGCACTTCAATTGATTATGCATTATTTAACCTTGAGGTTATGGTTTAGATGTGGTGTCTCCCAAAAGCTCACATGTAAGACAATGCAAGAAGGTTCCATGGAAAAATGATTGGGTTGTAAGAGTCTTAACCCAATCAGTGAATCAATCCCCTGATAAGGATTAACTGAGTGGTAACTGAAGTAGTAGGGTGTGGCAGGAGGCCTTGGGAATTGGGGCATGGCTTGGGGGTATATATTTGTATCTAGCAAGTGGAGACCTCTCTCTGATCATCATGTGTGCTGCTTCCCTCCACCACACTCTTCTACCATGATGTTTTGCCTCACCTCGAGCCCTAAGGAATGGAGTCTGCTGTCTATGGATTGAAACCTCTTAATCATGAACCCTCAAATAAACTTTTTTCTCCTCTAGGTTGTTCTGATCGGATCCTTAGTCACAGCAGCAAAATAGCTGACTAATATACTTGGTTTTAAAGTACTTGAGTTGAATACAGTGGAGTAAGTATGTGCTTTTGCAAATACAAACTTGATGAAAACTAAATCTGATAAACAGAAAAAGAAGAGAAAAAGAAACACATAAAAATGCACACACAAAAACTAAAGCTGGATAAAACTTTTTTAATTTTTAAAAATCAGTCATTGAGCTAGCAAGAAAGCAAGAAAATTACAGACCAAAAACAAAACTAAGGTGGAACTCCTAGATTATGAATAAGCTCCTAAAACATCTTTCAAACAACTGTGTCCTTGAGTGTTCACTTTGACCAGTGTGCAGGATCTAGAAACATAAGATATATCCTCAGGCATCTCTCAGATCAGAAGAATAACAACTTTCCCGTAAAACTGGTACTCTAAAGGGCCAAGGTCAAGATGAAAATAAAATTAACTTGCTTTGCTGAAGAGGACCACAGAAAAATTCACCTCTCTTGATGCTTATGTGGGATGAAGAATATAAAAAAGATATTCTTTGATAATTCATGACTATGAAGTGGTCTTCATATAAGATTTTGACCCAAATTCATGATACCATGGGATTATTGAATAAACTTCATGAGTCTCAGTTTATGGCCCTCTAAGCAAATGTCAGAAACAGACAAATCCATTCTGAAGGAGTATCTTGAACCTAGGCTCCAAAGAAATCCCTCACATGAAATTTCAAGAACAGATGTTCATAATCAAAAACACAAAACAGGGCTGGGATTGTGGCTCAGTGGTAGAGTGCTTGCCTAGCATGTGTGAGGCACTGGGTTCGATTCTCAGAACTGCATATAAATAAAATTAAGTCCATTGACAACTAAAAAAAAAATATTTAAAAAAAAAACAAGGAAGCAAGGCTCCACGTAAGGATAGACCGAAACAAAAGGCAAGGTCAGACCTACATAGTGGGTATGGGAATAAACAGATGTAGAAAATAAGTGTGCTTAATTAAAGAAATGAAAGACAAGTTTGAAAATGCAAGAAAGGAACTATTGCACCCTTTAAAAAATAAACTTTTGAATTATTTTTTAAAACTGAGTATTAAAATCCAAGTACTTCTTGGGTTTTTTTTTTGTTTGTTTGTTTGTTTTGTTTTTCCCTAACCTTTTTCTTCCCAACTAGATTTTAGGTCCTTGAAGAGAGAGGGGCCAGGCTTAACATGTTATAGGTTATTGTTGCCAGTTGAAAGAAGTACTCAATTCTTTTGAAAACCAGAAGTAATAATGAGAGTTTGTGACAACGTTTTTAAAATGTAAATTTTTTTTAAAAAATCCTATGGTAAGATGCAGAAGACATGAAGTCAGAATGAATGCAGTGCTGCCAGCTGACTGGCTTCCCGCACAGGGCATTAGCTTTGTCAGTGGTCCCTCTAGTCCATTTCTCATCTTGAGAACACTTGTGAAGTGAGCGTATGTCCACATCCGCTTGTTAGAAAATCTATTCAAAATGCCTTGCAATTACTTAAATACAAGTTACTTTCAAACACTGATGTGCCATTTTAAAAAAATTGAGGCCATATGGAAACGTTCATTACCCTTGCATCTTACTGGGGCAATTAGGCACATGTGCTAATGTGTAAAGTTTTCTGGAATAGTTTGGTACTGAAGCCCCCCCTAGGGTAAAAGGGCTCAAGGGACATTAAATCTGATTATTGCCCCTCCCACACCACACCTGGAAATGAAGTAAACCTGTGAAACAGAGGGTAATAGGGGAAAAACAAAAAGTTTGACCAAGTTTGCAAACGTGATGTGAACATCATTTTAAAATTCTCAAACTAGCAAAATGTGAGGCTTCTGTATATGATCCAGCAAATTCTAGCATGGAAATACATGGAAGAGAACTGCCAAAGTCACTATGACGATGGTAAATTTGAGTTTGAATGCTTCTCATTCGGGATGGTTCAAACATCTCAGAAGAAAGTTTTTCCTTTACTAAAGGAACTTGTCTCACAGTTCCAGTCCTGGTGGAGCCCCTCTTATTGGCCCACCAAAGAAGGAGTCCTGGAGTGTTAGTGGGACAGGTTTTGTGTGTCCTTCCCTACCCACCCAAAAGATGGCATTCAAGGTGTCAGGCCTCAAAACTGTTCCTGGTCTGCAGTTGGATTTACTCTGCTCAGAAGGTAGCTCTTAAGGTGTTTGAAAGGACTCCCCCTCACTCCTTCCCTACTCCCTGGAATAGTTCACATCCCTTTAATATCATGTCTCTTGGCCCTCTTGTGCTCATTTCTGGAGAGACAGCTGAAGCCTCCAAAATGGGTGACAGAATCACAAAGGGAGACATGTGAGGAGGAAGTGTCAAGGCCTCCAAACAGGAGTTGTCCGATGACAGCCTAACACCTGACCCTCACAAGCTCACACAGCTGAGTCCTTTTGCAGTTCCACTGCTCAAGTGGATCATCTGAAGGCCTGTTTTAAACATTTGAAATAACTTTTTGTAAAAGCTCTATATTGGAAATGAATAATGAAGTCAAATGAATAATTCCAAATTGAACATAATCCCTGGTGCCCCTTGGCCTGTTGAGAGAACCCACCAAATCTAGTTAATTTGGGTCAAGTCTTCCTGCTTGCCACAGAGAGTGAAACTCCTCTTGGAATTTGTGGGAATTTTGCCTACCAGTAAAAAGAAGAGATGGCCCTTTCTTTCTACTTGTTGTGCAATAAATATATGTTGCTGAAGAGGGAGTAGGTTGTCATGACAATTATGACCAAAAGGGCCCATGTGAAGATATAAGGCGCCTAGAAAGAAGAGGGGTTGTGGCCTAAACAGGCTGGCCTTTCTCTGGTAGACAGCAACAAAGAGAAGGGCTTAATGGAAAGATCAGTGACCTCAGAACCACTGGTGGCAGGTTGGCAGTCCCCCACATCTGATAACTCTGGGTTAAGTGACACAGTCAACTTCCTATTCCTTTACCTGCTACATAAACAATCAGACTGATTTTGGGGGAAAGCTCTGGCAAAAGAATTCTGGGCGGTCCATTCTGAACGAGAGAGCCATTCTGAAAGAGGTGGCCATTTTGGCACCCCACCCTACCCATTTTGTTGATACTATCAACAAAATGTTTGTTCCAAAATAATTGATCCCCAAGTGAATAATTGGAATTGTATTCCTTTCTCAAAAGTAAAAAAAAAAAAAAATTAATTTGTCTATATGTGTTTTAAGTTAGTCCCTCTCTACTTTTTCACAGTTGTGTATGTTGATATTTAAATTGGCCTTGTCAAAATTCATATATGGCTGTTGCTTAACTTCTGCATTTGACATACTCAGAAAATGAGAACATTAGGCGGCTTGGAAAATTTCTTCTAGAAGTCCTTAATGTTGTGATCACAGAAGGACCATGCTGCACCAACATAACAAACACGTTTCTCTTGTTATGCGGGGTTTATTCTAAACCCTCCTTTAACTGCTTTACCTGATTTCATTTACTGCTTGGAAACCCACTTCTCTTTCAACTTCAGCCTTGGGGCTTCCCTAGGTCCTAGGACAGTGGGATCTTCCCTCTCTTACTCTGAGCTACTTGAGGGGCTGTGGTTGTGGCTCAGTGGTAGAGCCACTAGTATGCATGCCTAGTATGCATGAGGCATTGGGTTTAATCTCCAGCACCATATTAAAAAAAAAAAAACTAAATAAAATAAAGATGTCGTGTCCATCTACAACTAAAAATATTTTTTTTTAAAAAAAAGTACATGACATACATGGAGCCTGGGAAGGAAAAGTTCACATCTTAATCCTTTTTTAAAAAAAGCATTATTGAAGGCCCAGGTCAGGCATCAGGGGGGAGAGAGAGCCAGATGACAGGAATGGCTGTTGTCTTGTACTCTGCTTCTAATCTTTACTCACCCAACACTCTTGACCTTTCTGAGTCTCGGTTTCCTTCTCCATTAACTAGAAAGGCGGGACCTGAGGAGCACAGAAGCCAGTGCTACCATTCATCTGTGGCTTAGCTAATTTCTTCAACAAGAACTTACCAATGGGCTCGGGCTCAGTGGTAAAGCTCTTGCCTAGCACACTAGGTTTGATCCTCAGCACCACCTAAAAATAAATAAATAAAGTTATTATGTCCATCTACAACTAAAAATAAAAATTACTAAAGAAAAACTTATCAGGCACCTTCTGTGTGTTCCCATTTATAAGCAAGACTCCTCGCCCATACCATTGATGGATAAAACACCGTAGAGCTGTTCTATGTTCCTATGTTTACACATTTGTAGGTGTTCCTTATTTCTTCATGGTGTAGCTATTTCTAACCACTACATTTAGGTCTTTTTTGGGAAGGGCCATCTTTGCTGTTTCCCCACCAGACTGGAAGCTCAGTGAGGCCAGGGATTGTGTCTAACTAGTCTTTGTAATCTCCAGCATTTAGCTGGCACTGAGTAAATGTGAAAGGAAGGAAAGGCAAGAGTGAGGGACTGATCCATGGAATATCCTCATACCTGTGATATTTCTGGGTACAGACCACAGTGAAGTCCCTGTCCACAGAGAGTGCCAATGGTAGCAGGCTCTGACCTTTCATGGAATCAGCAAATCATTGGAGCTATCGAAAATTACATTAATTTTATTGAAGCCTTTTGCAGGTACCTAATGTAATTATGGCCCTGATAAAAGCTGCCAAGTGCTCCTGAGTGCAAAGGAGAGAAGATATTTTAACGAAGTTACTAGACTCATTTGGCTTCTCATCCTGGAAAATCTACTGCTCTGGGGGACCATCATTTCTGCTGAGCTGGCATTGCTATGAGGCGACCACTTTCTGTTGGTTTTTCTTCATGATTTAGAGGTACTCATCAGGAAGATGTCATTTTCTTTACCTGGGCCCAACTCTGGGTTCTGCTAAACTTCCTGGTAACCTGTGATTTATTATGGATATGTCCTACTTACATTTTCTTCCCATAGTTACGACCACATACCTCAAGTATAAAAGACAAATTTTTCTTTGTTCAACTGCCTGTAATTAGTCAGGTGCCCTCTCTCGCTCACATGACAACCCTTTTCCCTCCTAAAAAGAAGCCTTGGACTGTTTGTTAGCCTGCCCCTGGGGGGTTCGGGTAGGAAACAGACACTTCCTCTCTGACTAACCTTAGTCTGGTCCCTGGCTGGGCTTGGAAGGTAGATCAGGCTGCTGATTTATTTTTTCTTTACTACTTCCCTCTAAGTTATCCAGGGGAAGAGGACTAATTTCTAGATAGAGAGATAAAATCTGGTTTTCAAAGTGCTGAAAGAGGGCTGGGGATGTGGCTCAAGCGGTAGCGCGCTCACCTGGCATGCGTGCTGCCTGGGTTCAATCCTCAGCACCACAAACAAAGATGTTGTGTCCGCCAATAACTAAAAGAAATAAATATTTAAAAAATTCTCTCTCTCTCTCTCTCTCTCTCTCTCCTCTCTCCTCTCTCTTTAAAAAAAAAAGTGCTGAAAGAATCTAAAATAGCTGGATGGATTCCTTCAGGCTGTTTCTGTCTAAAAAGCTTGCATTTCTCTAGGAGCAGGGAGAGATTGCAGGTAGGAGAGTGGGCCTATTATCTCACTTCTGCCCCCTTACCCCTCTCCCAGTCCCCACCAGGGCTCACTACAGTAGCTGGTGGCATGTCAGGC